AACAATGAGCCAAAAACAAACAGAAGGTTTCAGTGCCGCCTTTAGCTTCGTCGCTGGTGGGATTTAGTCAAGTGGTCTGGTGGATGTACAAGAAACTTAAGTTTCTCGCATGCATGGCCGGTTGAGGAATGCCGGCTCATGTGCTCCTGTGCTCGGGGACTGTCTAGAGGCCGGATTGATTAGTATTAGCTGGTAGAAACATGATGATAGATAGATGGAGGGTTGTAATCAGTTTTAGATTGTTCTATAGAAGGGGGTTGCTCATGGACAGTGGAACTTCTCGTATTCTTTTCTCCTATGCTTCGATTTTCCTATCTTTATTCTGGGGAGAAGATACAGAATACAGACTACTATCGTCTCATTATTACCTTCGATCCTTCTCGTATTCCCCGTAAGGTTTACTGAAACTATATCATCAATACGGATACGCAGGCCCATGCATATACACATATTTCCGGAACGTAGATAGATTCCGTCCGAGGATCGGGGTTCGTACCGCGCACCTACCAGCTATTTCCGTCCCTCAACAACTGCAGGTGCACGGCCGGTGGATACATACCTCTGGAGAACGGCAGATAAGCCGGGTTGATCTGGTCTTTCTTGGAGAAACGCTCTTGACCGATGGGCGTGTAGTATGTACACTTAATTGCATGCCTATGTTGTCGCTGAGGATCAGGATATGATGATGGTGCCCGCATGAGCTAGATCATTGAGCTGCTGACCCTGCGCTGTATACGATATTGTATCTATTTGTAAAGGTATATGTATGTTCTGTGCAGAGTTAGTTATCACGAAGTGGGGTAGATATTGTGTACATGTGTCCCCTAGCACAATGATCCACCCTGGCAGCTGCAGTATCAATGATACTTTTCCAGCCATCACCCCTGCACTTGAAGAGATCTAGATAATATCAAGCTTGGACAGTGCTTGGGGGACCTCAATTGCTGCCTGCCATTTTATTTATTCCAAGAACGGATATGTCGTGTTTCGTCAGCTCCTTGGCGGTAATCTTGGAATTGGAGCTGTGATCGGGGCCGGAGGTTAGTGATGATAAACTGGTAAGACGTGATTTATTGCAAAGGACGGAGTCTGGTTAACCATTTAATTAACCCACAATAAAGACAGGTATCTCCCCACTACTTGGTGACCACGTACCCGCTCCCTCAACAGACCAAGTACACGCTTCTCCAACTGACCAACCGCCATTGTTGTCCCCTATTGACAAGTGAGCTATAATCAATTCTCTTTCATTCTTCTCTATATTTACCCTTTATTGGAGTTATCATTTCTCGCTCTTATTCTTTCTCTATCTGGCCATAGCTGGAGAAGATATAAAAAGCTTCGTGGGGATTCGAACCCCCCCCCCCCCCCCCCAGAAAGGATGTTTTGAATTTCGCTAGCTATTTGACTGTACTTGAGAAGCTCTTGAGATATGTTCATTTAGCTTTGAGTGGCACAAACGTACACTTCACTTTGAATGGCAAAGATAAGGCCTAGGAATGAGAAATACACCGGAATTGAAGTTGTGCGTAGATGGTTTGTACTCCCCACTCCACTAGACATTAGAGCATTATAGAACTTCGAGCTCAAGGTGGTCAGGGGGTGTTGTTTCAGTCAACAAGGTATTAACAGCCCTAGGTCTGTCAACCTCATGATCTTCCTAAATATAAACTTCAATACACATATGTGAACTTAGGGAGACAATCTGCATTGAGGCATGACCATGGAGCGGTTTTTTATCGCTGGTTGATGTACATCCCTTGTGATAAAATTTGTGGTTATAGCCTAGTTCATCCAAAAATTGGCATACTGGAATCTCTCATCCCTGAGTATTCAAGACTAAGTGATCTGCATGAGCGAGTGGGATTATCGCCCAAATTCATAAATAAATAGATGGGTGCAAGATCAAAGATAAGCGTTTGCCTCTTCTGGACTCTTAGGCGAGATGTCAGTTTAAACGATGTCTGTGGAATTCTCGCCTACTTCGGCGAGTCAATAGTGAATCTTATTCTTCGTTTAACCCCCCGTACTCCCAGTTACACCTAGCACTGGTTCTCGTGGCAAAGTTTCGGTTTCAAACGTTGCATTATAACATACATTCGGCAGTTACAAGTACTTGATAAAGTCAGTGCCGAGTACTCGAAGGTAATGTAGTGCCTAAAACTGTGTTATCATAATAATATAAATATTTAGAATTGTGGTTTCTCTTTATAGCTTGTTGCATGAGATTTAGGGCTCAGAGGAGATCATACATTATATCTGGACGTACCTCACGGGTGTAGTCGTACTAGTGGTGAACCCTCCAATATGAAATTATATCTTGAACTGTGACACCAATGATAATATCAATGTGGTCCACGAAGCAGATCGAGGCACCACTTGTGTCGTCTTGAGGTAGCCTGAGAAATGACCCCCCACGAACTTGGAGCCGATAAGACTCGATTCAACATACTTTCCCTGATTGAAGTTTTCAAAAAGGTTGTCAAACATTGAGGAACATCGAGGAATATGGTAATCCGAGGTAAGCCTCCACGAGTCAGAGGCAATTCGATACCCCCTTCCTCCTTATCTTAAAGTGCCTCGTGAATCATGCTCGACCGTACCACACTGAGGGATGTCCATGACTGGAATGTGTTCGTAACTGGAACAGTCGAGCGCTCCAGTAGCTGGTCTATCAGTGTAGCAACACACCGTTTGTAGCTTTTTGTAGTATCAAATGACCCATCTTCTGTGAAAACCTATATAACGGGAACAAACACACCTCAATCAAAGCCTTTCGTGGATCCCATAATCAGTATAACTTGAGGTAGTACAGTGCGCACGCATGTATGTTGATGACGCCTGAGGTCTGTGATTGGTCCTACTATAGATTAATTGAAGGGCAAACATGATGGGTTGAGTTCTATACCGAGGCATATGCGAGCTGAAGAGGAGTCCACGTATTGTCATCTTTCGGTGCGCATAAGATCGAGGAAGGTACTTTAGGTTATGTGCTCATCTGCAAGCAGGTGCGTACCTCACAGTGAGTCAACGAACTTTACTTACAAGCCTTGGACCACAGCTCAATGTAAGGTGCACCCCACATCACTAAACATTATAAATTTCTGATTGCTACATAGCTCTGTGGTACGTTCTTTCATGCACTAGAAAATTGTTTAGAGAAGCGGATTATGCAGAACGCTGAAGCAGGCGCTAGTGCGGATTGTAGTCGAAGCGCGCGCGACAGTGTGCCGACAATAGTTGTGCAAACCACACTTCATTACAAGGCTATCGGTGCCTTAGACGAGGCCAGCGCCTTTCCTTTCAACATTTGCGAAAATAACCAGCTTGGGGTGCGCATTGAATTGAGTTATATAAAGCCGCCGTTCCTCTCGATATCTCATTCCCAGCTTCTCCGGCTCCTTTGAAGCTCTTCATCCGCAAATATTTATGGCATATAGCAACATCCACGTGTGCACCGTGGACAGCAATATGGCTGCATTGCTTTACAATCTGGTTTTCTATCATCTCAAACATCAACGATCGATGTGAGAGTCGCCTGCTTTATCCTAAGCGTGGATTCTACGCCTACAATCTAATCTTCATCAGAGATTGTGGATATTCGGTATAATTTTTAAGAACATATATAACCAGCGCTGTTACAAGTATCTACCAGCTTAATAAACCAGCAAGACTGACAAGTAATAGGTGACACATACAAGATGTTTGGATACAGCCGACCTGTATCGAACAGGTTAATCAACTGCTAAGAACAGCAAACAATCTCAAACGATTACTCTTCTACTTGGTGCACCGATACTTTTGCAGACCTACTCAAGGGTGAAGAAGGACGCACCATTTCATATATCCGACAATTCACCAGCAGCAAATTAAAGATTACACGTCAGATACAAGGATTTTCAGTTGATGAAATCTCCTGCAAATACCATGACTTGGAGAAATGTGTTTTGCCCGGATGGTATTAGAAAATTACAATTTGGAGAGACCGATGCTCCCATAAGCTGGTACTTGAGGAATGATGAATTATATTACATCACCTACTGTGGAAACAAAAAATCTGCTTTAAAGAACTCATAAACAAGGCCATATATATACCAGGAGTTGCTCGATGTTCCTCTGCATATCAATTCCCAAACTCGACACCACCGCTCATGGTCCATCAAACTCAACAAAGTCAACTAAAACGGTATATACGCATGGCGCATACATATATACAGTCGTTCACCGTCGCTTGACGAATACTGCCAGTTGACGAATACTGCCAGTCGACGAACAGGTGACTTTGGGCTAATAGAAATTAAAAGGACTGGCCGGAGATCTCGTAGTTTGGCTGTTGCTTGAGTGTTTCTTGCCGTACTTGGAATCCCTGTTCATCAAGTGGCAGTATTCGTCAAGAGACGGTGAACGACTGTACTCTTTTAAAAGGGTCGCATAGAAAAGTTATAAGCTAAGAATGGTATAACTATCTCTCAATTATACAAGATAAACTATACAACAATTACATTTTGATAAAGAGAAACATCTTCTATAGCCTCCGAAGGCTTGGTGTTTTTTAAATTACCAAATCCCTGAATTGTCATAAATCGGGTGATAATCCATGAGTCACATGATGCACCGCACTGTGGGAAACGACATCGATCCTATGCACAACTACATAGCATTTAAAGATACAGCAGTTATTCATCATCATATCAAGCCGTGCGCGGTTCTCGGCTGATTTGATAAGTCACGAGCCCCATAGTGCCCATCCCGTGTTTACGATTTGTGCGAGGATTTATATATTGCTAATATTTGCTGATATTAGATATTACCAAAGCCCAAGATGCAAGTCCCTCACACTCAAATGTAACCACAATTGGATCTTGCATTCTATTATGTGCAGGATTATTACCCGAAGGCCATCGAAATGTTGTTGTATTAAGCTCATCATCAATTAGAAACCTGAATATAAATGAAACACTAAGGGTCCTTCCATTCACTTGGAAAATATGCATACTAGGATGGGTATCCTGATTTATCGTAAGGTTTGTATAAATCCCCGCTCCATATCACACAACCACAAGATGATTGATCAAAGCTGACACGCAGGGAACCTAGGTGTAACACTGTGCAAGAAAGTGCATAAACGGGAGTAAGAATTCTCTAGCGGCTGGAGTGTGATGTGAAGCAGCATCGACAGACTGGCCCTTTACTGTCTTTTCTTCATGTATCCAGGACAAAAAAAGATAAAGTAGAGGTACGGCCAACACGGGTGGTATAGCCTGCTCTGCTTCATATCAAACTGTTGCTACCTGGCTGGGTTGTCTGTCGAATTCAGGCACCATTTGACTATCTATCCATCACCCCTGTTCGCGAGCAATCACTTGATTGAGCTCGCATATATTGGAGTTAGTCTAAGTTGGGGCTGATATTCTCCGGGGTGCCGAAAACGTGGATCTGTCAAGGAAAAAAGAAAAGGCGAGACTCGGCGCCTTTCCCGTCCCTCGTAGGAACTATCCCTATCAACAGTAAATTGGAAGACGAAACGACACCTTGCTCCCCATCGTGTTTCGACCACACCCTGCGGATCCTGGGGACTTTTTCGGCGTCTCGAACGATGTTAAATCATTGAATACATGTACCTTCTTAAGTTTATTTGGCTAAACAATCGTTCGGAGGCTGCAGACTTCCGAGAAACTCATTACATGTAGTTTTACATGATGTGTATCACTCACTCACCACATACATGCGTTGATAAACCAGCCTGGCATCGGCCTAAATAATAAACAGATCTCTAGGGCTTGGGCTTATGAGAATAAAATTATTGACCAGTGCTTGTTAGATGGTACAAAGCCCGATAGCCCCGAGCTAGGTGTCCTAGACTCCTGGCTTACTGGCCGGATACCAATCACGGTAGTGTGCGTCAGCCCTAGGTCGCGCTGGGCGATATCATGAGAGCCCCATCCCGCAGATGACCCTCGCAGAAACAAACGACCTTCTTAGAAACTTTCCATTGCCATCCCTAATAGAAGCTTTTTCAGTTAACTAACCATAATCAAAAAAGAATCATGGCTTCTGCCTGTTGTGTCCAAGGTGAATATATCCAGGCCCTCTTCAACTAATTCAAGCTTAGTGGCACTGCCGCTGACTGACGCCCTGCAGGTACTCTCCAAAATGATTCGCCAAATGGCACTGTAACCGTTATCCACGGTCTCGATACCTATGTCGCGTCTGGAGACTCCTCAAAGGGAGTCATTGTAATAATACCAGACGTATTTGGCTGGCTTTTGATAAACACTCGTCTATTGGCCGATGTATACGCTAGGAAGACTGGCTTGTCGGTTTATGTCCCTGACTTCATGTTTGGTTAGTCACATGCCACTCCTGTCGCCATATTTTCAAAACTTTGCTAGCTACACGTTGAGATGTGGGGAAGTGACAGGATTGACATGAGTGTACTACTGCAGGCGATTCATTTCCAGTAGAGAATATGCAGGTCTTATCACCCGTTGATGGTACAGTCCCGACTATGACAGCAAAAGTGTACGTATTATTATACCTACTACCCCCACTCTCATGTCACGTATCCAGTTGGAAAGCAGTTTATTGACGGAACACTAGTAAAACTCTAGGGAAGCTTGGAGCTTGGATGTTTCGCCATCGAGAGGCCGTTTCATGGAAGATAATCAACGGTTTCTTTGAAGCAATCCACAAAGAGAACACTACCCGCAAGGTTTTCGTCTCCGGTTTTTGTTGGGGAGGAAGATATGCTTGCTTGCTCGCCCAAAGGGAGAAATGGCTTTTGAGTGATAGGACTTATAGAGAAGGTGGACTTGTTGATGCTGTGTTTGCGGCACATCCATGTGAGTCCTCCATTTTCACCGCAAGTCACGTAGAAAAACCGGCACCCGTGAACGGAAATCGGTGTGGATACTCTGCAACAGCAGCTAATCATAAGCGCATTTCGAAATAGCTCTGCTTGCAATTCCAAAGGATATAGAGCTCATTGCGAAGCCTGTGAGTTTTGCGATGGCTGAGGAGGATGAACGTCTCCCTATGAAAGACGTCGAGAAAATTATAGAGATTCTCGGAAAGCAGAAGATGTTTAAGAGCGAGGTTGTTACTTATGACGGCGCCAAACATGGTGAGTTGACCCCTCCGCATTCCTCTCCCCTTCGAGCTCTTCGGGAACGAACCGAGATAAAGATTAAATGAGGGATATATTTTAACACGTCACGAGCACTAGGCTTTGCTTTGAGGGGAAATATTGAGATCCAGGCTCAGAGGGAGAATATGGAGAACTCCCAGGACCAGGCGGTGAATTGGTTCAAACAGTACCTAGACTAGCTAGAACCCACGGATGCAGCCCCAATATCAATATGAAATAAGGGCTATGAGCTATGAATATCACAATATACCTTCTTATTCTTTTTTTTTTTTAGCTTAATGCTCAGGCGTAATTAGTTAGCTTAGATTTTTGGCTGGTAATCGCGATGGTTTTTTTATTTTATTTATTTTTGGGGGTGTTTAGGTACGATAACATACATCATTTTGCCGGATACCCAACTGCTTTTCTGGGTCCAAACATCTACCTATTGTGAAATTTATAAGCACGATTTCGTTTTTTTGAGTTGTCTGGGGTCAGCATTGAAATCGCCATCTCTGGGGTCCGGACATCTCTCCTCCAACCAACCAAACTTATTCGCCCCAAACAATATCTACCACTATTTACCGCGGACACCGCAAGAATGGTTCGGGTCTCGTTCAATTAGAGTTATTGTCGCACAAGCCTGGATTGGCTGACTGATAGAACTCGCCACACAGGTCCACGCCGACGCATCGAATTTCCCAAGAGGCGTTTTAAAAACAGAGGCGTATGCTCAAGTCATCGAGCAGGCCTCGGCGCTGTTTGACGGACAGCGAAACTGGGTATGTAGCCTTCTCCCTTCGACATGATGATGATTGGGGATCAGGCAGTGCAAAAGACCTGATAGTGGGTCTACTTCTCCATCAAGGTCTGGTATGTATGCAGAAACTCGAGCCCCCTCTTTCTCAAGAGAAAGAAAGAAGACTGTACCTATCGGCACTAGGTATATACATCGTGCGATGCATGCTAATTATGACTTCGCTTCAAAGCAATCTCGCCAATTCGGCTTCTCTTATCTGGCATGCGTTACATTCAATGCCAGAGCCGTCAAACCATGCAAATTGGGCAGGTAAGGAACCCCAATCCCCGGAAGCTACAGGACAGGATAGGGCAGGGCAAGTTGTTGTTATTACGGGGCCGGATTAGGCAATTCAATAGAAGGTCTGACACGCGTTCTGGAAGGGTTCTACGTCCTTGATCCGACAACTCCAAAACAGTTGATACTAGGCCCATTCATGGGAAAGGTATGTGCAGAATATAATTTTCTTTATATTATCTTTGCTGCGGATATCGTCATACAACCCCCTTCCCTTTATCCTGGGATGGGGATTTTGACAGTTTCGAGATACTCCGAGCTTCGAATCCCCATAGCCCATATGGCGGCCATGTCCATATGTAACCATGAGCCATGGCATGTTATTATTGGAAGACTGTCTTTCTCCTTTTCCCCGGGCAGATGGGTAGGTTTCGGGCCATGTGGAGTTTGCCGTTTCGTTGTGGTATTTTCTTTTCTTTTGTACCTGCATGGCGGACATGAAATATCTAACTAATATTTGTGATAAACCGCTAGGTTGCCTGTCAGACTATCAAATTCGGCCGTGGGGTTTGTGGCAAGGCAGCGGAAACCGCTGAGACGCAAGTCATTGAGGTTGGTGGCTTCATTACACTTTCTTTGCACATACCTACACATTGACATTAGAAAACGTGGCCCTCTCACTAACGGGTCGATCACTTTTGATCCCTTTCCTGGAAGGATGTGCACTCGTTCCCAGATCATATCGCTTGTGATGGGGACTCAAGAAGTGAAATAGTGGTGCCCATACGGGTTGGTGGAAAGGTGAGAGCATCATCTTAAACTTACGTGCTTCTCCTGCCCCCTATACTAGCACAACATTAGGTTTAGCTGTACCTGTTCGCCCTCGTGGCATTTGAAGTGATGAACCCTTGAGGGATCGGTGGTGATGCCGGAACCCTGAAGGGTGAAGGGGTGTGTGGTGGTTGTGGTTGTGGTGGTAGTGAACTTGTGGGTTCGGAAATAAAATGAGCTAACAAAGGGAGGGACACAGGTCGTCGCAGTTATCGACGTTGACTCCACAGTCCCTAAAGCGTTTGACGAGGAGGATAAAAAGGCCCTAGAGTCGCTAGCAGAAATTCTCGGAACCAGTTGCGATTGGTAAGGGCTACATGTACCATCAACAAAGGGCTAGATACTTCCATTTACTAGGACAAGGTACAATATAAACACGCATAAGATCAAATTTACGAAGAACTACATCCCATTCAATTCATTGTAGAATATGTAGGAGGTAGATGCTTACCCAACAAGACACTTGAGACATTTGTTGCCCTAGAAGAAGGCATGAAAGAAGGGAAATAGAAGCCAAAGTGACTTCGATCCGACTAAAAGTAGGGGTTTTTCGTGTTGAATTTTAGTTGGTGACGGGCCTAAGATTACCGGTACTAGAATAACCGGAAGCGAGACCGGATGCATGCATCAAAAGTAGGTGTGGATCCCGTGTTTGTTGCGTCAAGGGCTGCCTCAAGGCTGCCTTTTTCGAAGCAGTACTCCGTGAAAGTTTTAGATACGACATTATTATGCACAGAATGTTTCCTCGTGGTCCTGTTGCGCTATAAAACGTTCCGAGATGGAGGGGGAAAACCGTTCCGAGAAGGAGGGAGAGGGGGATAAAAAGACGATGGCATGATGAAGAAGGAGAAGGGGTTTACCATGAAGAGGATCAGTAACGTTGAGGTAGAGTAATGAGCTTTGTGTTTCAACTCAACAGAAAACCTGCCCACATCTGTTTCCAACCTGACAATGATTTTGAACGGTCCCATTTCACAATCATCACAAAATTTAAGGGGCCCAAGCCCACGATATAGCCGGATCGTAGTGCCGTAGCATTTAGAAGTCCTAGCAACATGTAGGTACAACCGCCCCAGCCCGCGTGGTGTGTGGGTTTGGGGTTGCGAGGAGGGGGCTCAAGCCACTCGAAGCCTCAAAGAACGACTTCAACTCAACTGTTTGCCCTCACGACAGGCCTTACCCCTGTATCATGTCAGGATGTTTAGTATGTATCTGTATCTTGTGCAATATGATGTGCGCGGGCGTAACCCTCCATACCCCTTTTTATACGAGCTGGTGGGTTTACTTTGTACCTGTTTACAGTCGCAACTCGATATGCCGGATTGCCAAGATTCGAAGGATTTCATACGGGATAGCAAAAAATCCGTGATAGCAAATTGATTTTGCAGTAAAAAAAACCAAAACCCCAGAGGATTTCGTACGGGATAGCAAGGGATCCGGCGTATTGAGATCCGGCATATCGAGTTGCGACTGTACTAGAGAAAGTAACTGATCTAGAGTACAATGGCCAAGGCTGAAATTGCATTTACTAGAGAGAAAGTAAATAAGAACAAGGGCTCAATTGCGGAACATTAGCATCAGCGTGTAAGTAAGACATCTGACGTTCATTCTCGTTTGAAGCGATCCTAGCTTAGGGTAGGGTATGGACAATAGGTACATGGGTACATGGGTACATGGGGTATTTGGTACTCTACCTCTACGTAGGGTAAGGGGCTGTAGGGAAAAAAGAGATGACTTCTTGTCTGGTCTGGTCTTTCTGTAAGTGAGGCATTCAGGACTCAAAGGATACAAAGCTACGGTACTGTACACGCATATTATTATACCATCAGGTTGAACGGAATTTAGAATTATACATTACCTAGTCTCGTCCACATGTAATCAATGAACTGCATGTTTCTCCCCTAACCGTAAAAAGAATATCTGGACATTGTAGTACTTATTTAGTAGTGCAGAAGTTGCCGAGCAGCAATTTGCGATCATCGTCTTCGTCCCTCCCCGCCACTCGTGCATTTTGCAAGATCCCGTGCGAAGAGCTATCCCCATCTCTGTGCCTCCCAAAAAAAACCTTAGTGCGTTCTACAGGGCAGCCAGGGACGAACGAACTATCTTCACTCTCCGTCGTTTCTTCTCCACTCCCCCCGAATAGTCTGTTCCTAATTCTCTGTGAGCGAGCTAAGCAACGCCAAAATCAGAGAGGCGAACCGCTTACAGGAACAAACCGCGACGACCCTTCTGAATTGAACTCAATTCCCTTCCTAATACTCCCCCCCCTTCCCCCTCAGCCTCTTGCTTCTTCTTCTCGGGTTTTCTTCGTGACCTTTCTCTCTGTCAGTCAAGTCCCACTCAAGTCAGTCAGCTCCCTTCCTTCCCTCTCCCCCTTCATCCTTCTTTCATATTTGCTGTTCTCGCTGGACGTCGCACGGGTTTTTCTCAGTTGTTGTTGGCTTCTGCGAAACACCTTTGATTGCGCCTCTTCTTATTCTTCTTTCAACAGTATTTGTGTGTGTACTTTCTGCGCGTGAGAGGTTCGGTATTATTTCCTGCCTCATCCGTCGGCATCATTCGTTCCTTGTTGTGCGCTTCTACTCTCCGAGTTCCATCACACTCTCTTTCTTATTCCGACCCGGTCATCTGTCCATCCATCATCTACCCTTCCATCCATCCACTACCCTCCTTTGATCTTACACAACAATTTTGGCTGTTATCAATAAACAACCAAAACGCCTTTAACAAGCTTTCAAAACACCACCAGTCTCCATCATCACTACCATCACAGCGCAGTCGTACTGGTATATATTATTCTTTTGGTGAGCACTTCTTTCAAGCAAACACCTTCACCCCATCTCCTAAACCACCATCATCTGTCCCTTCAATCCTTCAATTATCCAGCAGCCTTGCTCTCCCACACCCTAGCATTCCCACACCCTCCCTTCCCCATCCCTGACTAGCCTACTGTTTTCGCGCGCGTCTGTCACCCATCAAATGTCAGCTTCATCTATTCGGATGAATTTTTTGTGGAGGGTGCCTGTCCGATGTCGTGAACAAAAAGAAAGCTTCTCGAAGGAATTTCTTAGAGTCTTTCAAAAGCTATACGCATGTTCCTACTCTCTGCGCGCAGCTGTCTCCTCTCTTATTCGGGTTCGGGTATTGTTCCAAGAAAAGCTAGCCTGCTCCCAATCAGGAAATCAAGCAGAAGCAGCGCACCCCCTGGAGGCCCCTTGCAACCACTACCTTTCTACTTTCGCTCCTCCATCCTTTTTCTCTTCTGTTTCTCCTTATTCTCCCATCCGTCTCCTTTTCACCCGACTCTCTCCCCCCTCACCCCCCACCCGTTGTCCGTCCACTTAAATCGATTCATCTTTATTTCGTGCAGACACGCTTCCCGTTCTTGGTCTCGTCCATCTTTATTCTAATCCTGTCGTTTCTATCTTTCAGAGCAGGCCTTCAAACCACATCGTCGCGAATCAAATCAACCTACAACCTTTAATTAGCTCTTAATATCGGCCTGCCTCAGGTCGTTTAATTATTATACACCGAGAAACAATCAATAGGATACTTACGACGAGATGGGTTGTGGCATGAGCACCGAGGAGAAGGAGGGGAAGCAGAGGAATGAAGAGATTGAGAACCAGCTGAAGAGGGACAAGATGATGCAGCGGAACGAAATCAAAATGCTTCTTCTAGGTTTGCATCTCCTGTCTCCAAATATCACGTCCGGATGTTAACCTTACTGCGCTACAGGAGCTGGAGAATCCGGTAAATCAACTATCCTGAAACAGATGAAGCTCATCCACGAAGGTGGGTATAGCCGAGATGAATGTGAATCATTCAAAGAAATCATCTTCTCAAACACGGTTCAGTCAATGAGGGTTATTCTGGAAGCAATGGAAACGTTAGAGCTTCCTCTCGATGATAGTCGGGCAGAGTATCATGTACAGACCATCTTCATGCAGCCGACACAGATCGAGGGCGAATCCCTCCCACCAGAGGTTGGCAATGCTATCAAGACTTTGTGGGCGGACCGTGGTGTACAGGAATGTTTCAGGCGATCAAGGGAATACCAGTTGAACGACTCGGCCAGATAGTACGCGTCACTTCCAAACTTTATATCTAGTCAAGTCAATGCTAACATATACCCTAGCTACTTTGACTCCATCGATAGGATCGCACAGCCAGACTATCTGCCTACTGACCAGGATGTACTGAGGTCGCGTGTCAAGACAACCGGTATTACAGAAACCACCTTTATCATCGGGGACTTGACCTACCGTATGTTTGATGTTGGTGGTCAACGATCGGAACGTAAGAAGTGGATTCACTGTTTCGAGAATGTCACAACTATTCTGTTTTTGGTTGCCATCTCAGAGTACGATCAATTGCTGTTCGAGGATGAGACTGTAAACCGTATGCAGGAAGCTTTGACATTGTTTGATTCAATCTGCAACTCAAGGTGGTTCATCAAGACGAGTATAATCCTGTTCTTGAACAAGATCGATCGCTTCCGAGAGAAACTCCCAATTAGTCCTATGAAGAATTACTTCTCTGACTACGAAGGTATGTACACTTAATCATTTCCCACTTGGAGTGGCTGTATACTGACACAAACTCAAAGGTGGCGAGGACTACACTGCTGCTTGTGATTACATTCTGAATCGCTTCGTGTCTTTGAATCAATCAGAGACCAAGCAAATCTATACCCATTTCACATGTGCCACGGATACTACGCAGATCCGTTTCGTGATGGCAGCTGTTAATGGTATGCACATATTGTATCCTTTTAATCGAAGAAGTCATACTTACATATTCCAGATATCATTATCCAAGAGAATCTGCGTCAATGCGGTCTGATATAAATAATGTCGACACAAATAATTTTCCTCTTCTCACTCGGTCATTCATCCCAGGACTTATGCTACAATGGGCAGTCTTTAAACATATACAGGCGCTTTACCGTGATTTGTGTCCTTGTATGCATGTACTACTTGGGGCTTGTTATGTGCAAGTAGGGTATCGGGTTCTACTTTTTGGATCCCGAGCTCATGACATATTTATTTCTATAAATCACCTTTAGTTTCCATCAGGCTCAGTCCTTTTTCTTTAACACTCACTCTCAATATTTATGCGTCTTGTTGGTTTTGCATTCTCGTTTCCCTTTCTTTTTTCTCTTACTTTTAAATGTTTCTGTATTTTTTTTCACCTTGGGTCCACAAAATTTCTATTTATGGGTCATTTTACGCCAGCATCTGGGTAACTTCCCCATTTCTACTTTTCATTACTTTCCTTACATACCATTATTTGTGTCTCTGCGTGTATGGTTTCAAGCGTTCTCAGTTGGGGGTGCGTATGTTTCTGTATTGAGTTGTAGGAGCTGGAAGGAAAATCGATGGATGTCGGAAGAATTTGTCTCGGTGCACAATTTTTTTTTTCTTTTCGTCCCAGTTTTTGGCTACCCTTCCGACCCTCAGTGACTGATCTGGATCGTTCTCCCAGAATATAAAAGTAACAGCGAGGCGAGCGGAGGGGAGGATTTTGGACAGATGGATTTCATGATTGCTGAGATGAAGGGCGCTCAATGCTCAAGAACGATCGCGGGTGTTCTTTCGGCTACTCGTGATCTTTCAATGGGACATCTGGATTAGCGGAGGAGTGGTTGGGGGGGTTATAAAGATCTTGAGAAGATGGCCGTCTCTATGAACGAAAAAAAAACAAAAGGGCTGGTAGTTGGGATGGAAGGTCGATTTAGGAGGGATTAAAGGGCTCCTCCATTGTAATTACATGTCACTATCGCTATCTCTCTATTATATCAACATACCTGTATCTTTAGCCAATGACTATTTTTATGTTCATCTCATTGTAGTTCGCTTTTTTCTTTTCCCATCCCATCCATCCCTCTCTATCATTATCATGTGTGGTTTATTTCCGAGATATCCATGTGATTTTTTGTTTTCCCAGATGTGCATCTTATGCAGCCAACTGGTAGCGATGGCTGATGGCTGCTGCTGTACCGAAATATTCGAATCGGTGGTACTCTACTTGTGCTCTAGAAAATGTAGGCTGCTACACCTCCTGTATGTACCATTTTATTTTGCGGGAAAGCCTATGCAGCGCGGAAGCTGCCTTGCCCCACACTCTCTCTATTCCTGTTTCGAATTTAGCCATACACCGCTAGGACAGCCTTAGATAACTTCCTTCCCTAGAAAGGTAGGGCAGGCAGCACAGAGATTCGTGGTTGCTGGCCGGTAGTGGTGGTGGTGGTTCTGGCTGGTTCCCTGGCCACCACCCCCAAATCAAATCAAAGAACAGTTCGATTTGTTACAGACTGTTACCAAGCCAGCTAGCTGTCTAACTAGCTACTAGTAAGCCATCCAATACATTATTCATTCACGTCTGAGACATGCAGCAAGCAAGAAGAGACCCGCAACGCACAACACACCGAACTTTCAACGAGTACCCTTGCGGACGTGGGGAAAAGAAGGAAACCGAAGGGAAAAAAGGAAAAAAAGGCAGAGGTGGACCGGGATCAACGGGTTAGGTTTTATTTGGCTGGGTGTGCGCTTTCTGGTGGCGGTGGTGGTGAGACTTCGATGAGGCAAAGCAAGGGGATGGATGAAGGCCGTCTGGATAGCAATTGGGTGTGTGTTTATTGGTTTGCAGAGTGGTCCAGGGGACAGATGCGATTTGCTGCTGCTGGCTCTACTACCTGCTCTACTTATTGTACTTTACTCTGGGTGCCCAGGAGGTAAGTGGATGTATGTATGGTACCGCACATGTACCCTCGGCCCGGACGCCAGAGCTGCTCCTGTGCTTTGGTTCGATTTGGAGATGGAGGATCTAACCTCAGTTCTCACTCGCTCACCGTTCTGTCTGTCTTGGGCTTGTCTAACTAAGTAACTGTCTTGCAATTGTCTTAGGCTAGTCTGGCAGCTTGGCTGGGCATTCTGTAAACTAAACATTTCCCAAATTCCCGGGCCCCTCTGCTCTCTGTAGTAGGATATTCTAGTACAGAACAGACACTTTGATTCTCGTCGACTCTTCGACCTCCTCCTCGTTATCATTTTGAGTCTGAGGTCCCTTCTTCTCCCGGGATTCTGCTTCCTGTCATCCATTGTTCCTTCATTCATTCTTTCCCTACATGATACTAGATGCCTACCCCCTCCATAAGTGTATGGGTAGGAAGTATATTCAAGAAGCACAAACTGCAAGGGTTTCAGGTGCCATTGCAATAATCCGCGTTCTTTTGTTTCTTGGCTGCAAACGGAGATTGGCAGAGAAACACAAGTGGGGTGGCACTGCGCGTAAAGTATGGTAGCAGAACTCTTATCCCAAGAAAGAAAGAAAGCTGTGTGTCTATTTCCATCTTCGGCTTGATGGTTAGCTGTTATTTATGTAGTTAGCATATGCGATTTCAATTCTCCCCAGGCCCAGATAGAATCCAACCCTAAAATCCTAAACCAACCCAGCATCTCCACCGAAACTGGCCAGCTACATCTGCAGAGTTAATAAAAAAAAAATATCAAAAAAATCACCCCAAGGTTGCATATGTGGGGATCGGACCGACTGGCTGGTTGGGAGTAATGGATCGCAGTAGAGTGCAAGTGAGCTGAGTGATGAGTGAAGTATATTTGCATATGTGTACCTACATATAGCATGTAGGTACTGTACCTACTATAGGTCCGCCCGGTACTCTAACAGAAGTTCATTCTCACCTCACTCAACACCCCCCACTCTCACAACAGAAAAAAAAAAGAGAAAAAAAGAAAAAGACCAGCCCAGTAAAGAAGAAGAAGAAGCTCCACCCATTCCGATATTCCCCTTGTTTGCATATACGGTACCCTACGTCCGAACTTAGGGAACAGGCCGCCGCCGCCGCCGCCAGCACATCTTTCTTCTTTAATTCCTTACTACCCTTCTTCGTCCGAGTCACCACTACATATTTCTCTACTCCCCCGGTTTTTTTCTTCTTTCCTTTCTTCTTTTCTTTCATTTTCACTCACTCATTCTTTCTCCCTCACGCTCGCTCCGTTCGCGCTTCTCCTTCTATCCCGCCAATTGACAGCTCGCTTCAATTCACACCGCTCGTTAAATATCCACTAGTATACCCATAGAGTAATCGTTACCGTATACAATTAACGCCGGTAATCTAAATCATACATACGTATCTACTTTTTTTTTGCCTACCCACAACCACCACCACACCACTACTACCATCTTCATAACTATATCTACCGCCATCCTCATAACCATTTCTGCCTTCCTACCACCACCACAACTGTTACTACACACAATGTCTTCACCTTCCTCATCATCGAATAGCGGCCCCGCCAAAGAATCAAACCTGCTCGCACCCAACCCAACAAGGTCCACCAGCCGCCGAGGCTCGATACCCAAAAACACACCCACGTGCGGCGACCAGGATCCCGCGAGCTCATTGCGGAAGGAGATGAACCTTGTGGCGGAGGCTGCAAAGAGGGCGAGCGTGGCAATTGTCGTGAGGGACTTGGAGGAGTTCGCGGTCTGAAGAACCCCCCCTCTCCCCCCCACACGGGAGGGAGCGATTACCCTACTAGTAGTAGAGTAGTGGTTGTTTTTCTTTTTTTGTCCCTTCTCGTTTTTTGTGCTTTTTTCTTCCTGCTTTTTCCCTTGGAGGTTAGAGCGGGGAATTGAGTGGGAGAGATGGGGATGGGGAAAAGGGAAGAACGGCGAGTACGGCAGGGTGTGCGGAATACCGCCTGCGGTGGTTTTTTTCAGCAACCTTTTTGTCGATTTCATACACAAACACACACAAACATACGAGTAAATGAACGGATGGCACATACCGAGAAAACGGAGGCGATAAAAGGCCAATTGAAATGGCGATAACAAAAAATTCAACTTCCTACTTCCTGCTGGTCTCGAATTGCGAATCTTGATTCGGGGGAGGAAACTTTATTACTATAACTGCTTATATAGATGGAAGGGAAAGGGCGACCTTGAATTGATATTTTCTTGTTTTACGGCGGAGGCTTCTTCTTTTTCTGGCTTTCTTGAGTTCATCTACCTATTCTATTCTACGTACTACTACTCTAATACGCTTTAATGTGTCGGGGAGAGCTGTGCTGCGCAGACTCTATCCAGCTACACTTTTGGTTCTTCAAGTGCTATACATACAGTATTTATAACTTCAGTACCATTTCGTGTTTCACTTTCAGCTTTCTATTCATTCTTATCCGTTTTTTTTTTTCCTGATTTCTTTTTATCACTTATTTATTATGCTGTTATGTTGGCTCTTTGTTTGCTTGTTGCGGGCGGGAAATCGAACGAAATTCGAACTTGGGAAGGATTTGATATTGGGGATCTAGTTAGAATGGGAGTTTTTTTTTTCATAGTTCCGCGACCTAAAAGAAGAGACAAACGGATTAGGTTATGTGCATTATTCATATATCTACACACACTTCTCAATTATATTTTGTGGGGGGACACAATTCTGCTATGCATACATATGTGATCTTGGACATCGTTGTGCGTTTCGAGATGGGGGCGCGGGGGCGGTTGTGAAGCTTCAGCCTACCTATCTTCCTTCCGGATCTTCAGGTTTCCTTCTTTCAGATGTGCGTGCGTGCGTTGATGATGGTGGCACCGGCGATATCGATATTACTCACCCTCGCGTTGAGCTTCGTTTATTGCTGAGGACACCTTTTCGAGTTCAGTACTTTTTGACTTGGTTCATCCTGACATACCCCTACACTGCCGATATAGTAAATATAACACCACTTCTTGTCTTGTTTATTTTTGTTTCATTAGCACCTAGAGGGAACCCAGAATATATAATATAAAGTTCGACTACAATTGGATTGAATTGACCTGAAACTATATAAATCCCAAGGCTTCCCGCGATTGTAGCCCATTACGTCCAGAACATTCCCTTAATGGAGGTAATAACCCCATTGTTCACGCTTAGGCCTGCCGCGGGGAATAAGGTCTTTAATTCCCGCGGTCAATTGGCGAGCGAGTGAGCGATGTTCTAACAACGGGTTGAACCTTCGGAGGGCTCGAGCTCCTAGGATGCTGTCCGGTCCGACATTCTGGCTGGATTGCCAATTCAACCCGACAACTAGGCAGACAGGCAGATAACACCTCATTCTATATCGGAGAGATGTGAGATGAGAGGGCGCCTAGAATCCCATGTAGAGATGCAACCCGTTTGGGTGTTTTTTTGGTGGGAGTCATGGAATCCGATGTGTATGTACACTGTATATATCTAGATGGCGGCGGTGGTGGTGGTAGTGGTGGGCGGTGGTCTGTCGTCTGCGTCTGTCTGGGATCGTTCCGGCCGTTTTCCGACTTGAACGATCCAAACAGGCCCCTGAACTCTGAGGAAGGGGGGTTGCTCGGTAACTCCCGACAACGAGGTCCTACTGCTGCTGCGCGCCCCCAGAGACCAGTTAATGCTTGGCGTGTGCGGTGCCAGAAGTTTCAGCCGCAACAACAACAACATTCGGCCTTCTTCTGGTAATTCTAGGGCCAGTGCGCAGGTTCGGTTGGGTTCTGAATTATTCCTGAGAGTCTGAGACTGTGGGGAGACCTCTATTGCTGCGCGCAGCGGCGGTCCAGGGGTTACGCTTGTGGATGGGGTGTACAAATGCAGTGGGGCTGCTATGTTAAGATGTGTAGATACAAGGCTCTGGCATTAAGTGAGCGAACTAAATGGGGTGTTGGCCGGTAAGGATCCGTTCACTCACTTAATGCCAGAGCCTTGTACATACTGACGTTTGTGGACGCGACTGATATTGCATGCCATACAAAAATACGCCAAGCTCATGATTTTGGGTGTATGCAATAATGGCCCAGTTCAAAAACGTCAATACTCTACTATATACCTACCCGGAAGGGATGCGCTGATCTGATCGCTAGGGATTTGATACGTTGGGAGGCTCGCGTATGCCCGAACCTACGGCGGACGGTTATGTAAATGTTAGCTCTGGGAGTGTGCCCCTGCAGTACATACCTGTGGTGACAATTTATCGTGGGGGGAATCGTGGGATATGTAGGTGGATAAAGCTGTGGCATATGTACATGTAGGTAGCTCGGAGCCCCGTATTAGTACTGGACAGAGCCATATCGGTCAGTATAGTACTCAATCAGACGGGTATTACATACTGGAACACTCTGAAGCTCTATCTAGACGCTCCAAGCAGACAATGCAGTCAAATTCGCCCCCCACTTGCCACCAGAACATCTCCGAGGGATGAGAGAGATTGGCCAGAGATTAATTCAGATCATAATTGATAGCATTAGCCACCATCTTGGCGTGCATGGAAGCGGTTCTAAGAGGGGATGAGTGGCCTCTTTAGAATCTTTGATCACGAGCAATTCACCAATCAGCACCTGTATCGATAGGACTAGGGGGATAGTCTATCTACTATTTATTATTAGATCAATTAACCTAATTGGTACCGATTCTCCCATCCGCCAACCAGAAAACCCGAATTTAAAGCTGGAGTCTTTCGCGCAAGGGCCGATACAAAATAATGGACGAGAAAACAACTAGAAAACAAAGGGCGCTGATTAGCCTATGTATGATAGCCCAGAATACATACACAGAATGGAATGCAATAGTAAGAATCCAGGACCAGCGATAAATTGAAATTTTTCAATCGATAAAGGGATTTTTTTTTCTCCCCCTCTTGTTACTGTTTGTACCAGAATATTCTTGGATCGTCGTGAAAAATTTCGGAAGAGGAGTTTGAAAGGCAGATGAGATTCAAAAGTGGGAAGAAAGAAGTTCGAAGACCGGCAAGGGAGAAAAAGGTGTGTTCACCAAGCTAATGTGAACGGATAGTACAGCTAACTAGATCTTCTAAGTGGACCTCCTAAATGGTATATACCTCCTAAACGCACCCTTATAGTATACATTTAATTACTATATAAACCCAAGCAGAATATTTCACTATGGTTCCGATCGGTAACAAAGGGTAGTCCCTGCATGATCTCATCAGCGGAATTTTCTTATCAAAGGTGCCACAAAACCTACCTACCATAGATCTGATCTTAATAGAAAAGGCTTTTTCTGGCGCCTCTAAAAGTAAAGAGCTCGCTATCCGTACAAAATCAGTAGAACCCATGGTGAAAAGTTGTCGTTACTTAAGTTCTTAATTTAGCCTTTTACTAGATGTATATATGTAGGTTAGATGTGAGATTTATAAATGACGTAAGTAGTGCGATTATTGTATAGTTCATGGGCGTAAATCACCGTTCTCGCACCGCCATGTAAGTTAGTATACCTACATTGAAGCGCAGGGGGTCAATTGATATCTAGCTCCAGGAAAACCTCTGGATTACTACAATGTCATGTAGTCATCGCTCAAGTTCCCGGAGGGGTGGGGTCCTCAAAAGAGTGCTCAACAGCGCAGATCTCGCCGGTGATGGATGATAATCAAGCACACCGCGAACCACTGGTCTTCGTAAATATTGGGTGTCTTGGTTATCGTCACACAACAATAAAGTGGTGACGGGTACGACTAAAACGAAACGAGGCTCGGGTGATTGCCGTCTTCGCTTGCTGTTTGGGGCCAGAACTTGGGAACTCAAGTCGGGATACTAACAGGGTCCTCGATGAAAAACGTCACCACATTGACTCTAATATCCAAATAAGAAAACATCCCAGGAATTTTGCAATATCTTTTGGGTCTCAGAACCACTTATTCTAGATTGGTAGGTGATATAACGATACAATAGAAGGGAGCTATGTTGAGTCATGAGGTACACATGCCATGAAAAATCTTTGGTGGCGACTTCTGGGTTCTGCCGGCAGTTTACTGCTAAAAAAGAGGAATGACTGTTTGTGAGATGGGAAGTACGATGGGCTCGTCAAACAATAGAAAATGAGCTCTCAATAAGCGGGAAAACATTTAAGGCCATCCATTGAGTCCTGGTGACCAGTAGAGTAGACCATACGTTGTTGCTGGCACTGATGTTTGTTAGTTTGGTATAAGTGAGTGACAACTCATGACTAGGGCGATGAGATGACATGACTGCACGTGCTAAGGTGTTCGTTTGTCAACCAAGCTGGCGCCTGAATTTTTTTTCAGGCTTCCCGAATGCCGCAAGTACATGTATTTCAAACTACGCGCATACCATTCAATTTTGGAGAATACTCTGGTCTTCTGTGTTGGCACTTAAGCAAGGGAGAAAAATGTGCGCCAATTGGAGATATGTTAACCATGCGAGCTTTGGGGCTCTGGCTGGTGAAACAGTAAATAATCGTAATGGCTGCTTGCGATTGAGTCATTTTGTGGCAATACTTGGAAACTGTTTCCGAAACTCTTGTGATCCTTGCCTGAAATTCGAGCACTCTATATACTACTACAATATCGATCGAGGCTCGGGCTCGCGGTATTAATGGTATTTGATACCTGTTTCAAAGCGGCCGAATAGATAGTTGATAGTCGACAAGAAATTGAGAGTAAAGCTGATATGTAAAGTATGAGAGCTCATCCAATGATGTAGATACATGTATTATTTGAATTGGGTTGTGCTGTAGGCCTTAGCTTGGCGAGGTGAAGATATACACCGTGTTAGAATAAACAATCGGAAAAATCGTTCCAATGAGGCTGCTTCTTCCCGAGAGCTACTTACCAATCCAGCACCGGTCAGATTCTGATAGTTGACACAAGAAGCTCGGCTCGGTTATTAACAACACCTGCCAGCAGTATGAGCCCAACAATTATGGCATTTGGCTGGCTCGTATGCTGTATGATGCTGTCGGGGCAACAGGAATTATGGGAGGCCTGAATCGCGCATGATACTAACTGGTAACTTGTAGATACCTAGTTACATGTATCTAACCTGATATGATGCCCCAGAGCTTAATTGGCGAACAAAACAAAGAATTTCCTGGTATACGTTAAACCATAACAGTTATGGCGTGTCATTCCCTCAAGGTAACGGTCGCACGTAGCAATTCTCTTACGCACGGTCCACACACCATGCCCCTCGCTGCTGCTGCAAGACAAGGGTGCACGTATTTTATAAACTCCCACCTCTCCTCTCTTCATCGTTCGCAACATATTTTAGTCTCTCATCCATCTGTCTACTTATTGTATCATCAGTATCTTACCATCAACGAGGCAGTACATTTCCATCAAGCACCAAGCACCAAACATCAAGCATCAAGCATCGAGGTTTCCGGTACGAACAAAACAGCTATATCAAGCATACACACAAGGTCAAATACTCTCCGTGAAAACAGCAACAACCAGACCATGAGTGGAGGCGCACCTCGAGGGGGGCGTGGGGGAGGAGATAGGGGTGGAGGAAGAGGCGGCGCATTTGGTGGATTTCGTGGGGATCGTGGAGGGGGGGTGGTGGTGGACGCGGCGGTGGCCGTGGTGGTGGGGATGGTGGCGGTGGCCGTGGTTATGGTGATGGTGGTGGCCGTGGTGGTAGAGGTAGAGGCGGTGGTAGGGGCGGCTTTGGCGGAGACACAATATTCAGCCAGTGAGTTATTTTGTGCCTTTTATTGGGGGTATTGCTCTAACGCGAGATGCTTTAGGGGAACCGCAGCTATCGACCCAAAAGTCACTGCTGTCGAGAATGGGCTTGTTGCGTCTGTTCAAGCACAAAAGCTGAAACCGAAAAGCGACCTCGATTTACCATTGCGTCCAGATTATGGTACCATAGGCGTGCAGACCTTGGTCCGAGCGAATCATTTCCCAGTAGCTATCCCAACAAGTACTTTATTCAAGTATGATGTGGCTATGCAACCGGAAATAAAAATTAAAAGAATGAAGAAAAGAGTCTTTAAAATTTTGGAGATGACTGCCTTCCAGTCACAACAGAATATAATTGCTACCGATTATTCAAAGACAATTATAACCCCATCCCGTCTTAAGATAGAGAACGACAGATTGCAAATCGAGATTACTTACTATGATGAGGGCCAGACCATCACTGAAAAAAGCAAAAAGTATATGGTGACGATCCAGCTTGTTCAGTTGATTGATCCCGGCGAGTTTCAAAAGTATGTCGATGGAAACAACCGCGATTATGACCCAGGAAGCGCCATCCAGGCACTCAATATCATACTTTCTAAGGCGCCCACCAATGACCCTGCGATCATTCCTAACGGGAGGAGCAAATTCTTTGTGAATTCGGATCCTCGACCTCTAGGGAAAGGCCTTGTGGCCCTTCGCGGATACTACTCCTCAATTCGCCCGTCGATTAGTCGTATTTTATGTAATGTCAACGTTTGTATGACAGCGTTTTATAGGTATTGCCTCTTGTTTCGAAATTGCTCAATATTACCAGTTGAGATGCTAATGACCTTGCAGGGAAACCGATGTTGCGACCCTTATTTACGAGTTCACTGGGGCTTCTCCCGGCGCTACAATACCGCCAAATATCTATGGACGGTTAGGAGGCTTTCTGAAACGTCTTCGGATTAGCACCAGTCATATCAAAGGGCCTAATGGCAAGCCAAAAGTACAGGCCAAGGCCATCATTGGGATTGGACATGGAAGGGCTGCCAAGGATATCAAGTTCATGTGCGAGGAGTTTGCGAAGGAGGTTTCTATTCCTGAATATTTCAAACGAAGTAATACTCAACCGCTCCATCTTAAAGATGTCTGCTAATAATATCTCATATAGAGTATAATATAACTCTGAGACACCCCAACCTTCCGTGCGTGGATGTTGGCACTAGGGATATGCCAATTATGCTGCCGCCTGAAATCGCGACGGTGCTTCCGGGCCAAGCCTACGGGAATAAACTCATGGATGAGCAAACGGCGCATATGATTACCTATGCCTGCCGAAATCCAAAAGAAAATGCCGGGTTCATTGTTGGGGAGGGCCTTACTAGTCTTGGGTTGAACCCTCCAACTCCACACTTGGTGAGTGCTTTATTCCTTTTTCTTTTTCTTTTTTCAAGATTTCTAACATTTAAAAGGGCCCATTTAACATCCAAGTGTCGACGGAAATGATAACAGTGCCTGCCAGAATTCTCACTCCACCCACAATCAAATATGCCAATTCGACAATGGCTGTAATCGGGGCAAGCTGGAATTTGAGAAATGTCAAGTTTGCCCAAGGTGCCAGTACTGAGAATTTTGGAGTTATTGTCCTCGAGGAAACTGGTGGTCGAGCCCAATTGGATTGGAGTGGAGTTGCCGCAAACTTCAGAGATATGTGCAACAAATCTGGGATGAGGGTTGGCGCCACTAGTCCTCAACTGATGAGGGCTGTCTCTATTCCATATCCAAACGAGCGTTCTACTGCTTCCCTCGAGAAGGCGATTTCACCTGCGTTTGCCCATATGCAAGCCAAAAAACCAAAAATCATCTTGGTATTTTTGCCCACGACAGATAAAGCTGTGTATTCAATGGTGAAATACCTGGGCGATGTCAAGTACGGTATCAGCACAGTCTGTGCTCAATCCTCCAAAATTAGCAAGATGAGCCCCCAGTACATGGCCAATGTTGCGCTTAAATTCAACCTGAAGCTCATGGGAAGGAACCATGGGCTACCACCTGCAGATCTCGGGATGCTCGCCGAGGGCACTACTATGATAGTAAGATTCCGGAATATAAACATTTGTGCGAAGACTCTAACACTCTAATAGGTTGGATGCGACGTCACCCACCCTTCCCCTGGAAGTTTAAGGGGAACACCGTCTATTGCTGGAGTAGTGGCTAGTGTTGATGCTCATTTTGCGCAATGGCCAGCCTCGCTAAGGCTTCAGGAAAGCCGCAAGGAGATGATAAGTGGTTTGAAAGAAATGATGATCGAACGTCTTCAACGTTGGAATAGTGTGAACGGGAAATTCCCACAAAGGATTATTGTTTATCGGGATGGTGTTTCGGAAGGTTTCTAGACCCCAAGCCCCATGGTATTTAAGAAATCATCTAACTCTTTTTTCTTCCAGGTCAATTCCAGACTGTGATCAAGGAGGAGCTCCCGTTGATCCGTGCAGCGTGCCAGCAATGTGGAGATAGCAAATATAGGCCAAAGATCAGCATAATTATTGTGGGGAAAAGACACCATACCCGTTTCTATCCCACGGATAAGGACAAGGCGGACAGACTCGGAAACCCTGCGCCTGGAACTGTTGTGGATAGGGGTGTTACTGCTGTTTATGATTTCGACTTTTACCTGCAGGCACACTCCGGTTTGCAGGGGACAACTCGCCCAGCCCATTATTATGTCATTCACGACAAGAATGATTTTAAATCCAACCAATTGCAGACACTGGTATGTTGATAAACAAGTCCCCACAGTTTAATAAACATTACTAATACACTTCTTTCTAGACCCACAATCTCTGCTATCTTTTTGGTCGTGCCACCAAGTCTGTTAGTATTTGCCCACCAGCGTACTACGCAGATCTTGTCTGCGAGCGCGGCAGATGCTATATCTATGGCCTGCTCAACGCCCCCGACACCGCGAGTCTTCATAGCTCGAATAGCGAAGAAGAGGCCGCGGCCAATTTCAAGAAGGCGGTGGGTTTGTGGGGCGACGGACCTCATCCTAACCTCCTTAATACGATGTATTACTTGTAAGGGGTGCATTGGAGTATGTGATACCAGGATTCTTTTGTTATGATTTTCCGACTGTTTTTGCTTCTTATTTTTTTCGAGTTTTTAGCTCTGTTTCTTTTCTTTCTTTTTGTTTGCTCTTTGTTGTTCCGTTGATGTTAGCTGCTTCTGAAAACGAAAATCAAACCATAAACAATATGGACTGTAGGTCATTAGTGGAGGATTTGGGACAGTTTGGGGGAGGATACATATGCCGAGGTTGGCACGTTTAGCTTGATTGTGTTTCTACTTTTGTTTTCTCCTTGCTGTCGATCGTTACTATCAAATTGATTCTTTGCGCACTGTTTGAATGTGGGAATGACTTACATGTATCACTCCCGATGATGGCAAGAAAAGCCCGGAGAGTAAGTGAATATGTGATGTGCCTATTGGTTAGTGGGTTAAATGTCAGGACCAAGTAATACAAGAATCGCGGCCCTAATGTCATAAAATCCCTACAATATTAGTATGTAGACATTCTACCTAGCTAGAAATTTTTTGTCATGCCCAAATCCTCGAGTGACTATCCATGATCATGACTATAGTGCCCAACAACTGTTATCGCGTCGTTCAGGGATCTCGCGCAACGTTACATCAAACCCGCCGATCTACCACAAGTGGATGAATTAGTTGCAAGCGAAACACCCCTCTCTGATTAGTTTGTCCGTCCCAATTTACTTGGCGATATCAAATTTAAGCCTTTCTCTCCATTCATTCCCTTTGCAAGTTGTCTAAGACCAGGACCAATAAGACTTTGCAATTGCTCCGTGATCTTCATGTGCTCGGAACTTCCCACTGTATATGGAACGAACTGGGTGTAGATTGATAGAGTAGATTAGATCGTCGAGTCCGCGTGGCCCTGTCAACCCACCACCGAACGGGGAACGGACTAGACCCCGTCGAAAAGCCCCGATGCAGGGTCCCCGTGTGAATTAACACAGGTATATGGACCCGCTGCATATTACTTCATTTGGGAAAAGAGGCCCTGAATCTAGTTGCAGTGCTGCCGACCCCCCTTTTTTTTCCCCAGGGCGGGAGTGGGAGCGAGTAGGTGAGACTAGGGCTGAAGGAAGGATTTGGCCTGCAGCGGGCTGAACTGGACGGGAACTTAACAACACAGGAATTGACCCGTCCTGACCTGACCTGTCTGTCTCTCCCTTTCCCGTTCACTGCTGCTATATTCACAATCCCTCGTCAGGGCAACTTGCTTTTTCAACTACACTCCTTAGTCCTTATCAGCTAGTCAGTCTCTCTTTTTTTTTGTTGCTACGTCGACATACCTCCCTTGCCCTGCCTGTCCTTCGTTTGAGTTCGTATCTTCACTTCAGTTCAGTCCGGATTCCGTGCGGAGTGTTAGACGCCCACGTACGCAATTCAAATTCTCGTGGAATTTCAGCTCAGGATTTCCATCAACTGGTCTTTACATCAAACAATACTCCCACCGATAGCAAAAAAAAATAATAATATAGAATCCACTCACCACAATGAAGTTCACCATCTTTACCACAACCGCTGCAGCAGGTCTCTTTCTCCAGGCCCTCCAAGTTTCCGCGCAGGGAGTCGGCGGTGGTGTTGCAGAAGTAGATCTTACTACCACAGCCAAAGCAGAGCCTACTACTGTCTGGTACTTATAATTCCCCCCCTCACTTACTACCCCACACTCTGCTAATACGGCGTCAAAACAGGGTCACACAGACACTCGCCAACGGTGCCAAAACCGTCGTGGCTTCAATCTACACGCAGCAGTTCCCGCAGAGGTATGAGAGCGTGTACGTGCCGTCCAGCGGGTCGATAGGGCTGGGGACGCAGACCGGGGCGGTGGGAGTTGTAAGGGAAACACAGGCCACTGGTGGCGGGGCAAGGGTGGCTCTTGGGAGCAGCAGGGACGCGTGGTTGCTGGGTTTGGGTGTGGGGATAGTGGGGATGGTGGGGGGTGGGTTGTTGGTGTTGTAAGTAAAGTGGTGAGGGGTGTAAAACGTTCTTTCTTTTCTTTCGACTCTGTTTTTATTTTTTTAAATGTGATACGTACATGGAGTTGGAAGATTAGATGGTAAACGTTAGATGAGTATGATTTTTCTTTTAAAAAGGGGGCCCCTTTACTTTTTGGGGTTCCTTTAATTCTATTTTTCTATTTTTCTTGGTATACCTTGGTTTTTAACTATCTACATGTAGTCTTTAAGGGGCATTTTTCTTGTAAAATATTAATTATCAAGATTTTCCTGTTCATTGTTACCACACATGATCATTCCCCTGATACTAGGTAACTGTTGAGTTTTAGTATAGCTTTGACTTAAGTGATTGTGTATCGATCTATCTAGACAAAACGTGTGAGGCCCAACATACTGGTAAACCAAGGCAAGCCTAGTCTACTGTTCAAATATACCCCCTCATGTTTACTACTACGGTAGCTATGTGTTGCTGGTTCCTACTATTCCCCACGCCAAGAACTACTAGCTGAAGAACTCGCCAATACCACCCGACCTTGGCCTACTTGGCCCACCCAACCAGACGGTTCCACACGGCCAACTCTTCTTTACCAGCCAAGACACCCAGATCCCCAATTCCCACATCCCATACAGCTTCGCGATGGCATTTACTCCTCGCTACACAAACCCTCCTCGTGGGGGCCGCGGAGATAACTGTAGTTATCGCGGGTAGCTTACTTATCAACTACATACTCGTATACCAGGGTAAGAACCAAAAAATGCAAGTGACGGAAACAGTAATGATTTGTATGAGAGATCATCGCCACCCCATACAAATAATCCTTGCCCAGAGCAACTGCATTTTCTGGTTCTTTTCGTGGTAAACGAGTATACTTGACCCGGGACGGCCCCCACTAGAAATGTCAGCATCACGGGTACGACGGGGTGCGAGTGATCCGTTGTGATCGGCTATGGTGCTTCCGCGGGCTCGGTACGTGGGGGGGCATTTGTAGCGCCGGTCCTTCCCCGGGGTGCCTATTTTTGGGCTTTGGGGCGTGCTGGATCTAGCTGTGCTTATTAGATGTGAGTTTTTGGGTTTGGAGACTTTTGATATTAGTGATCGAATAGACGTCTGGGGTGAGACTTCTCGAGATCTAGACCAGCTGCAGTCCTGTCCGTTGAGAGACTGTCCGGAAACGGCGAGTATATATCTGTTTTGGAGTTTGTGGGGTGCATGGAGTGGCCGTGGGCGGGGTATGTTCTAAGTTATCTGGTTGTCTGAAGCTGTGTAGTCTCACCATGAGATCGGTCTCAAGCTTTGCATATGTCTCGAAATCACATCGCTGTCGGTACCAGTTCGTGAAAGAGGAAGCGGAGGGACGGCTTCGATAATATGTATATATATACAAGAGGGTAGCCAGCTGTGGGTCAGCACGAATCTCGATACAGCGGTGCTGCTTTCCACCCTGGTTAAGCATTCGTACCTTGAAAACAGGGGAAGGGATAGATTGCCACGGTAGGGTTAGGCTTCCCTAGCTCCTCTTACTCTCGCCCCGCTCCGTTAAATATTATTTCCAGGCCTATTAACCCTAACTAACTAACCTAACCCAAATTACCCAGTTGCAGACAAACCATCACCCAACCCTAGCTACCCAAATTCTTGTAGCTACAAACCCACATAGGTACCTCTAATCCCATTCCCTACAGTAGTGGCTTTAGCTACGCATCTTGGGGAGACTTGTTCGGGGCATGGTGGAGAGGTATCCTGACAGTGCTACGATGTAGATCTTCTCTAGAATTTCAGTACTCTTGCTCCCTTTCTCCCTTTCGAGAATGATACTATTACTTATATGCTTAGGGAGAAGGAAGCTTGGGACTTTCCGGGGGGGGGGAGGGAACTATTTCGTGGGGACTGTTTAAGAATTGTGACCCCACGATACGAATTTTCTTGAAATTCTCACCCGAATTCATCATGGTATACTATAGAGGGAAATGACACACAGCCTATACGGCCCCCAGATTATATCGAGCTCAAGCCGATAAACATATATACGGGCAGGCCGTCTTCATCAAATTCCCCAGCTGCAGTCAAACCCCGGGAACAAATGCAAGCTAGAATGCCTTGCACGGCTACGTGTCTCTGCCATCAAAGACAAACCGTGCCGGTTTACCGCAGGGGATGTTGTAGGCGAGTTGACCAGGCAGCACAGAATTAAGCTTCAGCTAGCTGGACTTGTGAAGATGCCAACCTAACGTTAATGCGAACCCGGGCTTTCTGATATTAAATAAACCACATACGAATAATTATCGGCTACTAGTTTCTGTACATACAATCTGTACGATTGAGTGACCCGGCGCTTAAATACCTCTCCTTGCGACGTTTAACCTTCCAAATCCATAGAAAGCACCGTTGACCACCAGCTCGGATCACCAACTATCACCCGGCATTGAGTCACGTGCAAGCCTCCCAAACCGAAATCTATTTCACAACAATTCCCGCCCGCACCCGGAAAACAGGCCATAATAGAAGCCAAAAGCGCCCAGAGCACATAAAACCGATTTTCAAATATTGTGTTGCAAGTCAACTTACCTCTGCTACATGCAATTAAGTACAGTAATGATCCGCCACACCTTAATTATTTGGTTTCCAGTCGGCTGCAATAGGTAACACATCTTTCCTGCCTTTACAAACTGTGACGTCAATGTCTTTTCAAGTCATCCTACATAATGGGAGGGCCCCGCTTTTGAGAGACTCGTATTTCTTAACTGCGAGTACGTCTTGAGTGATATCGATATCAAAATACTATACATTGCATTGCCCTTTTTTTCCAAAATGACTTTGGGAGAACATGATCCGTTGTGTATCAACACAATCCGTATTCTGGCCGTATGTTGGAGATACCCTGGCCTCCAGAAGAAAACCCGTTTTGTTAATATGTGGCATGAGATCTAGGTAGATGCGACCTTCAAGGCTAACTCTGGGCATCCCGGTATGCCAATGGGCATGGCCCCGGTCTCGCATGTCTTGTTCAACAAGTAAGGGATATAAGTCGAATGAAACCGAATTCATCACTGACATGGTGTGAAGATTCATGAAATTCAATCCTAAGAATCCCGATTGGCTTAATAGAGATAGATTTGTTCTCTCGTAGGTTGCCTTTTTCCTCACTTTTCAATGAAAATTATTCAAAGTACTGATAATACGTTGTTGCTAGAAATGGCCATGGATGCATGCTTCAATATGCCATGCTGCATCTGTTCGGATATGATCTCTCGCTAGATGACCTTAAGGCCTTCCGCGTATGTTTCTATAATTATAATTAGGTCACTGTGCTTTAGACATAATACTAACCACTCACAGGCGGTCGGGTCCAAAACTCCAGGGCATCCTGAATGTGTAAGCTAAACCCAAATGATGATCGGAACTATTAAACTGATAAACATTCCAGAGAGACACGCCTGGCGTCGAGATCACTACTGGACCCCTCGGCCAAGGTTTTGCAAACTCCGTGGGTCTCGCAATTGCGCAGACTCATACTGCGGCGGTTTTCAATAAGCCCGGATACGACCTGGTTAATAACCACACCTACGTTTACTTAGGTGACGGATGCCTCATGGAAGGAATCACCGCCGAGACAGCATCGCTTGCCGGGCATCTGAAGCTGGGAAACTTGATTGCCATCTATGATGATAACCATATCTCAATTGTATAACACTCCCCTTCTCCGCCATGTATGAAACGGTTCTCACCGCAAGCAGGACGGTGACACAGCCCGTGCGTTCACCGAAGACGTTAACAAGCGGTTCGAAGCGTACGGCTGGCATACCCAGCACGTCAAGGACGGCGACCACGATCTCGCTGGCATCGAAAGAGCAATTGCGGCAGCTAGGGCAGTGACTGACAAACCGTCCCTCATCAAGCTTACCACCACTATCGGGTTTGGTTCAAAGCTTCAGGGCACCGGTGATGTCCATGGAAACCCCCTAAAGGAGGACGACTGCAAAGCTGTCAAAAAGAAGTTCGGATTCCACGCCGAGAGCCACTTCGAGGTTCCTCCGTTGGTCTATGAGATTTATGGCAAAACTGCCGCTAAGGGAGTGGCCGCCGAACAGGAGTGGAACAAGCTCTTTGATAAATATAAGAAGGAGTTTCCTAAAGAAGGTGCTGAGCTGGAGAGAAGACTGGCCAAAAAGCTCCCGGAGGGATGGGAGAAGAACCTTCCAATGTAGCACCCTTTCCTTCTTCATATGCGAGACTGAGCACTGATATTCTTCAGCTACAAATCCACCGACTCCGCAATCGCATCCCGCAAGCTATCCGAAACAGTCCTCAACAAGCTCGAATCCATCCTCCCTGAACTCATGGGCGGCTCCGCCGATCTCACCGGCTCAAACCTCACCCGCACAAAGAACGCCGTTGACTTCCAGCACCCCTCCACCAAGATCGGCGACTACAGCGGCCGCTACATCCGCTATGGCGTCCGCGAGCACGGCATGGCAGGCGTCATGAACGGCATCTCCGCCTACGGGACCCTCATCCCCTTCGGCGGCACATTCCTCAACTTTGTGAGCTACGGCTCCGGGGCAGTGCGACTCAGCGCCCTGAGCCACCACCACGTCATCTACGTCGCCACGCACGACTCCATCGGACTGGGCGAGGACGGGCCGACCCACCAGCCGATCGAGACGCTGGCGCATTTCAGGGCGCTGCCGAACTGCATGGTTTGGCGCCCCGCGGACGGGAATGAGACTTCTGCGGCATACTATGTGGCACTCATCTCGAAGAATACGCCGAGTATTTTGGCGCTCAGTAGGCAGAATCTGCCGCAGATTGAGGGGTCGAGCATGGAGTTGGCGATTAAGGGTGGGTATGTGTGTCTTGAGGAGCAGGGTGTGGATATTACGCTGGTGTCGACGGGGAGCGAGGTTTGTCTTTGTATTGAGGCGAGTGTGTGGTTGAAGGAGAAGAAGGGCATCAAGGCGAGGGTCGTCAGTATGCCGTGCTGGGAGGTGTTTGATGCGCAGGATAAGGAGTATAGGCTCTCTGTGTTGCCGGATGGGAAGCCGATTCTGTCGGTGGAGGTGTTGAGTACTTTGGTTTGTGTTGTAGTTGCCCTTTGCTTGTGGGGTTGATGCTGATCATGGCTTTAATTTAGGGATGGGAACGGTACGCCCATGAGCAGTTTGGGCTAAACCGCTTTGGTGCCTCGGGGCCGTATAAAGACGTAAAACTCCCCGTCTTTTCTGAGTATTTCTCAATGCTGACAAGTATAATAAAGGTCTATGCAAGGTTCGAATTCACGGCAGAAGGCATCTCGAAGAGGGCCATAGCCACCATCGACTTCTGGAAGGGCGTGCAGAACATTAGGAGCCCGCTCAACAAGGCCTTCACCCAGATAATCTAGTTAGAGAGTCGTGGGATAAGTGGACTTGAGATTGAACGATTCTTTTTTCTCTCTTTTGCTTAAGTGTGGTTTCCTTGAGCAATCCGCAATACTTTCATTTTTTTTTGATTGAGACCGAGTGATCGTTTATGATTGAATGATCTTTTCTTAAAAATATAAGGTTCGATTGCTATGTGTTCGTGCATAAAAAATAAGTCCCTGATCGGCGATGCTGTCGTTCTTATGAGTCAGTATTTCTCACCGCTCTGGTCTAAGGCAGGTGGGTGTTGGTTGACCCATAGAGCCGGCCGCGGCCCTACTTACTCGTAGTTTTTTGACGTTTCCGGGCTGGACTGGGTCTGCATGTGGGTGTAAATTGTGTTTGACAACCATATTTTGGTGTATGCAGATCTAGTCCGTCAAAAAACTACGAGTATATTGCAGTCACTCTATAACCTGTCTCGTCCGACCGTATGCTCCGACCCGTGTAAACATACCGGTGCCCACACAACCTATCAACCACCGTATATAAAAATACCGCACCAAGGTCTCAAGACTCCCCGTACCGATCGTAGTCTTACTTCGCTCTATATTATGACGTAAATATCTTACCACTAACTAGGTGACCAAAAGCTATCTTCATTCCTTCTTCTCCCTACCTAACTCCCCTACGAGCAGCCTTCCGCTCAGATTTGGATAGGCGCCGCGGATCCTAGCTACAAACGAATAATCAAGTCGATCTAAAACAAAAACCGATATTATTTAATTAATGAATTAAACCCCCCTAAAGATGGTATTATTTCCAGACTCACTTATCCAAGTGATATTTCATGACTAAGACAACTAGATCGTTCCTTAAGCTTCAAGTCGACTTGTATCACGCACCACGTATCGTGGATATTGTTAGGACACGTTACAAGAAAAATTGTGTGTACTCTGCGTAGGTAGCTAGAATGAACGGCCCCACAAACACGGCGGCCGGGGTGCGGTAACCCTAACTAATATACTTAATCACTAACCCTACCTACGCACAGGGTTGGTGGGTGATTGGTGGGTGAAGGGCCAGGGGAGCTGTACTCTGGTTGGAAATTTAAGTAGGAGCTCTTTTGATCAATTGGCGAGGGTCCGCTCAACGTGAGGGTTCACGATCACCCAGACTAAATAGTGGTACCGGAAAGTGCTAGTGGTAAAGCAATATGTATGTACAGCTCCAGTTCAAAAGCCACTGCACGACAATGAAAACACACCAAAATTCGCCAAGGCATAGCATTTGCCCACATCGCAGTAGCGCTGATAAATTCTTGTTATTGCATGGACAGATAAATACACTTATAAGTACCTCAATCTATGATTTCGCACCAAGCAAATAGTTATAAAAGTAGTCAGATTGCTCAGTATGGGTGTGATTTTGGTCTTGGCCAGAGTTTCAAGAAGAAACCCCACAATTCATGCAAAAATCAATATTTCTACGGTCCGAATTTTTGAGATAGGCATTTGCATTCCTGGAATATGTTCTGCAAAGCCTCATATCATCATTCACCAGAGGTGTGGTGGGGCATGGGGTTGGAAAGGGTTGCTTTTTGGTGTGTGGTTTCGTCGTTGGATGATGAACTGGGGTTGTAGTTACTTCATAATTAAATACATGCACAATAAGAATATTTCAGTTACATGAATCATTTCAACAAATAAATATCATCAAAATCAAAGACCTCCGTCTCTGGGTATATGTATGTAGGTTCCTTATAACCGCCCACCGGCCCGTTTGCCATAAAAAACCAAGAAAAATCCGCCCACCCAAAATAGTTACAAGTAGACATTAAACAAAAAAGAAAGGATGTATACGTAGACCCAATCACAATTACATGATAATACAGCAGCCCTGGAGCTTCTTGATGAAGATAGGCGCTGCCTTCTTCGCCAATTCTTCCAGCTCGTTGGCGGGCTGCTGTTGCCCCTGCCCCTGCCCCTGCCCTTGCTGCTGCTGGTACTGGTTCTGGGGGTATTGTTGCTGCTGGTGTTGCTGCTGCTGGTGTTGCTGTTGCTGGTGATGCTGTTGCGGTTGTTGCTGTTGCTGTTGATGATGTTTCTGGTACCGCCCGCCTTGCTGGTAGTTTTGCTGCTGCTGTTGCTGCTGCTCCTGATGCCCGCCATATCCACCAGACCCCTGTCCGGCTCCACCACCCTCTCTCAACTGTACAATAATCTTGCCCGCATTCTGCTCACTATTAAATTGGAGCCCCTGGGCCCTAAGAATCTTCTCGACGGCAGGTTTGATCTTCGCGATCCCACCCGCCGAATGGTTCCCCTTGCCAACAATCACATTGATATGGTCATCGCCACGCTGCCTCGCAGTCCTCAACCGCGTTTCCAGAATCTCTTCCGCTTCCTCTACATATAGCCCATGCAGGTCGATCGTATCCTCTGGCTGGTGTGCATTATTTGCGCGGAATATGAAGTCACGCGCCTGCGCGTTGTAGGCCTCCATCTGTGCGCCATGGCGCTTGCCCTCCTCGCTGAGTTCATGGGCCGCTGCACCGTCGCCCGCTTCATAGGCAGCACGGGACCGGTCAAAGCAGCGGCCGCGTTTTTGAGCTTCTTCGCGCGCGACTGTGAGGGGTTTGTTAGTGGGTTGATTGCGACAGAGTTCCAAGGGCAATACTTACGGCCGCGCAAACGGTCGTATTCGACTTCGTCGGCTTCAGTTGCTCCGCCGTGGTGCGGGGGGTCGGCTATTGGTGGGTGTGTTGTGTTAGTAGGAATATTGATAGTGGGGTTATTGATCGTTTTCACGAGGGTGATGAGGTGCGAACCTTGTGGATTGATCTGGTTCATAAGGAAGGAAGCCATTTTTATGTCAATTCCACTTATTCTTGCTGTGAGCAAGGAAGTAGATACGTCGATTGAGAAAACCTGGCTGTGAGTTAGAGGAGATCTGCTGTCGGGGGGGGAGTCGTGGTGGAGAGAAGTAATGAAAGAAAGAGAGACCCTTATTCGGCGTCTATGTTTGCAGGCGCAACAGTGGTGTTGGCGGTTGGGCCACTAACGCGATTGGGAAGCATGTTTCCGAACACAAGATCTAGGAATCGTGAGTGGCGAGAACTGGTGAGATTAGATTCGCCCTTGGCAGCAAAGCAAAAAATGCGACGTGTCCATGCTTTTCCCGATCTCGAGCGTGTCCCGGATTTCTGGCATCCCATCCATCATCCATCGTGGGAAGCGCTCACGCGCACGTGGGATCCCCAGTGATGAGGCAGATCTTCCTGAGCCGCATCTTATTTGTGATGGGACGAAAGATGGTGCCAGGGTGATACATTCACGTGCCAATGATAGCTTGCCTCTTAAGACTGAGAACCAATCCTCTAAGACAAGCTTAGATTAATTGGCGATCAATGCGGAAATATATTATCCGGGGGTACCTTTGATTCTCGCTGGTCATAATTACCATTCACTCTTGAGCAATATTGTAAATATTCCAAGACTTGAATAATTGCAAGCTTCTCGGATATGAGTGATAGTTGATGTAGCCAGATCACCTAACCCTTGGGAGCATCGATACCGAACCACTAGCTTCATATGTAACGATCGACCCGTCCGGAGCGGATGAGCTCTGCTTTGAGCCTCAAGCCCTAACTAACGTGCCAGCATCGAGATCACGGATTCCTTGATATAATCAATAAAATAAGCACAGCCAAAGAAGGAATCGATTTACATGCATCCCATATGACACAAGATTTTATCGTATGCTCACCTATGTGCAACGGTCACGGAGTGTCGGTGGAATCAGTCATAATTTCGGCCATGGATAGCCCCGACTCGCCTGCGGAGAGATATTTGCTCCTTTCCCTTTGGCTATCTTAACTCCGGACGGATTTAATGATGCCGAAAAAGCCAATCAGACTGTGCTCGGGGATGCCTGTCGGCCGGATTGTTGTCCTGGAGTTCCGTATCCTTTAATGTATGTACCTGTAGGTACATGATGGTACATGATGTATGGGGCACATAAGCTGTGCGTGAGCATTGATGTTTTGGAGAGCCAATCAGACACCGTATCTAGCTCTTGTACGCCGTCAACAGCCTCAATGAACACGCACGACACCCATACCCCACCACAACACGTGACTTGGACAGGGCCGTCTCCGCTCGTCACTCGAAGCTTTTCACGGTAAATTTTGACGCACGGCCACGCAGTCAACTCTCACATTTTCACTTGTCTACTAATGTATGTCTCGCCTCTCACCCTTTCCGGCCCCTCCATAAGACACAAATACCTATTGCCCATATATCAATCAACGTACTCTTATATGCGCCTCCATCCTTCTTTCGCTCTCCTCAGATTTTCTCAAAGAACATCAGCACAAAGGAGTTACACAAATCCCTGTCACTCGCGCCCTTTGACATTTGTTACTACCGACGTCATTCCAAGTTACCGCAAAGGTTTCTCGTGCAGTACTACCGTTGCATCTAATAAGATGTCGAGTAGTGAAGGCCTCATTGCCAGTCTCTACAACGCCTCTGTGCGTACACCAGAAACCCCTTCGAGAGTACCAGAGGATATCTCCAGCAAAAGCCATCATGCGAAATGCAGAAAAGGATTTCAGAATCCCTGGCCTAGGTAATATATATATCGCCTTACCTAGCTATCACATGTGTTTTAATTCGTCCCCCACGCTTGAATTTGAACAATTGAGCTGAATATTTGTTCCTTTTTCTTCTCGTTTCCTTCTTTTTTTCTCCTGAGAAGCTTGGTGAAGTTTGAAATCCGGCCGTTCTGACCTCGCAAAAATATGTTTCATGCAGTTGGAAAGATATACAACCCATGGACGGAATAAAGTATTTTACTAGGTATTTTTGACCCCAGTTCCCAAACAATGCCAATAGGGAGCGCCTTCTGACAGTTATGTTCAAACAGTACGCGCTTAGATAAGAACTATTGTGGGGGTTATCACGGAAAAGCTATAGAGGACACTGTGCCACCTGTCGTGGCCCCTCAATTCCCAAAGTCCCGCTCCACTAAGTCGAAAGAATTCCGAGCGACCTGGCTAGGCCATGCTTGCTTTTATGTCGAGTTCCCTGGAGGTCTCCGGGCACTGTTTGATCCTGTGTTCTCCCAGAGATGCAGTCCGGTACAATTCATGGGTCCGAAGAGGGTTACCAAAATGCCCTGTGATATAAAGGATATCCCCGCTATAGATATCGTTGCTATAAGTCATAACCATTACGACCATATGGATTACAACACAATAATGGAATTGAAGAAATGCCACCCGAACGTATGGTTCTTTGTACCACTAGGCAATAAATCATGGTATGTTGATCTTCCGCGCCCCAATTGAGCACGACATGAAGCCATGTTTTTCGGGTATCATAAGAATTTGAATATCTGCTGATGGTGCAATCTGTGGTGGTGCATGTAGGTTCACATCTTCAGGGATCCCCAACTGCACAGAAATGGATTGGTGGGAAGAGCGGGATCTGGTCCTCTCTCCAGCAGATTCAGAATCTGCCGCAAAGCTTTCGGAATCTTCTAGTCCAGAAGGGACTGACTCGCCGTTGAAGGTTACGACCTCAGGGCCTGCAGAAGAAGGAAAGAAAGCTGGTGAGATCACCGCAAGGATTGGATGTTTACCCTGTCAGCACACCAGCAACCGTGGTCTGCATGATCGAAGCTCCACGTTGTGGTCAAGTTGGAGCGTTGAAAGTGGTGGTAAAAAATTATATTTTGCAGGGTGGGTGACACTTTTCTGTTTGTCGTCGTTAAATTTCTTTTTGTTTGAGAGGGGGTGTTGTCGAGGGGTACCGCTGCCGGCTTGGCTGGTCGGAGAATCCCGACGGGTTTGGCTGTCTCAGATTTCGGCACTGATCGCGGTTTCCCGACAATCCCGTATTGCGCAAGCACTCCTCATCCGAAACCAAGGATCCACCCGAGTGGCGAATGCTGGCCGGCAGGGCACAGTTTGATGTCTGGGATATGAGGTGGTTATCCGTCGCAACTATCCCAGGCGCAAACGTATTTGAGTATTGTCACTCGAAGTTGAGAAGCTATCCCGATCATCCCATTAGTTTCACAATTAGTGTGTTCAGACATTCGTCTTACCTTTACTGTTGGATTTTATACCTATTGTTTCTTATCCTTGGGTTTATCTACGAAAACTTGCTGACTATGGTTGGGATTGCAACAGAGATACTGGGTACCGCGCCGTTCCAAAGGTTCCTGACGGTGTAGACGATTACGGCGAAGAGTTCAAGGACCTCCCTGTTTGCCCGGCCTTCAAACAAGTCGGAGAGCTGAGGGGTGGGTTTGACCTCGGGTTGATCCCTATAGGTGCCTACTGGCCAAGATGGTACGTTTAACCCCCCCACACCAATATCAAAATTTTCTACAGCATTCCACCTCTTTGCGTTCCAACTTTACCGGGCGCAGGGAGCATCCTAGATTCATTGAATTTGTCATGTATGGGTTATCTTTGTACGCACTTGGAGATATATGCGCTTCAGGTCTATGCGTTCCATTGTCGCCTGATGGTATACCTAGAATCATGGGCTGTGTCAGGATCCCTCCGCCATCGCTCTCGGGAAATCACTCGTGTGGCGAGGGTTTACTCTGGAAAAATCACAACACCTGTCCCTGTTTTTATTTTAGTCGGTTTCTAGCTTGGGCATAGACTTTTGGTCAAGAAGATATTCAGTTTTGGCTAACACGATTGGGTAATGGTTCTCTAGGTTTATGAGTCCGATGCACGCAAGTCCGTATGATTCGGTTCGTATTTTCGTTGAGACAAAGTGCAAAAAAGCCATAGGCATGCATTGGGGTGAGTCACCTGGTCCCCTTCCTGTTTTGTCTATTTATTTCCTCTTTATATCAAACATGATGGCGGTTGCTACCTTACTTGACTCGGCGGCGCCGCTCGAGCGTTCCTGTACATCTCCTACCCCGCATTTTTACCTATGATTCCCGGGCACGCGCGTCATCGGGTGAAGAGTTTGAATCTTGGGGTTCTTGGGGGCTAACCATCTTGTGATTGATAGGAACTTGGGTTTTGACCGATGAACCAGTAATGGAGCCACCGGTTGTATTGAAGGAGGCGTTGAAGAAGGATGGAATCGCGGAAGAAGGCGTTTTCGATGTACTTGATATCGGAGAGAGCAGGGAATATTGAGGAATATGTCTTCAAATCAATCACGATGGGTATAAGGATTAAGGTGAGACAAAAATGTAAGGTTTATGATAAGAGAGGATGTATTAACCGCGGTTACATCCTTTTTTATTAATGATCTATATACTTTTGGACGAGAGGAAGAGAATCACGATTAGAATCGAGGGATGGTCGTGTGCTCGGGAGTTTGGGGTAGAACGCAATCGAGGACGCCCGTGGTCCCGGCTGTTATTAAGGATTCTGTGTAATATATGGGAGATTACTGGGAAAGGGGGGGGGGGGGGTGGAGTGGACTCCCCGGAGGGAGGACATTGTATCATTCATCCCTCCATATCCATCTCTTCCTTTCGGAAAGTTCATCGATGAGGGCGTTATTTCCGTATGATACAAAATGGCCACTTTACGTGCGCGTGGACACACGCGAGTGTGCATACCATTCCCATTCGTCCAGTTTTCTGCGCTCAATGGGGGAGAGATCTACCTCGGATGAGTGTTTTGGGGGGGGGGGGGGTAGAGAAGAATTAGGTAGAGATGAGGACGCTGAAGCAGTGTACGTACGTACAGGTTCACTCATCAAGTACTCATCGATGACTTGAGCTCCGTCCGGGTCTAGCCCATCCCATCGCACCCCATGGTCCATCTCTCAAGATGGAGTGGATGCATAGCACTCATAGATGCATAAAAGACTTATGC